TCTTTCCCTTTTTGCAGTAGTAATGATGTCTAATTACCGGCAACAGTGAGTTACTGAAACACCAGGCGCAAATCTCTCTCAATAACAGCAAAGCCAGCCATGAACCTTCAAGCCTCAAAAAGCTAGCATGATTCTTAGTCTACTTGAAAATACCATTCAAATACAGTACTTTCTTTCAACCGATATATGCCTTTGAATGAAAAGAAAAAGATATTCTTTGTCTTTCTGGTGACTGCACTCCTGTTATCATAAAGAAAAATCAACATATTTTTAAGGAAAAATATTTTGAGATGTGGGGAAACACATGATAAAAGGGGATCTTTATTTTTTATCTCATTGAAATGATGATTGGCTGCCTCTCAGAGAAGGAGGAGCCTATAATTCTATGTCAGGGGCAGCATAAAAATTTCATAAACAGCAATAGGAGAGTTCATGAATTAAAAACATCTGCAACATTTCCAAACGGGTCTGAATGAAGATCAGAGCTCTTAAATACTACACGGGAAACCATTATCTAAGAACATCACCTGAAGGATTACATTTTCTCCCCTAACTATATGGAATCCTTACTGAAAAGAGACACACGTGTTACTTTATTATTAACCCTGGAGTTGTTACTCTATATTAGATGTCTTAGCATCAATTCTTTAACAACTCTGCATTAATTTTTCAATGAAAATATGGTATCTGAGCATGTGAATGCTGGTTTGAATTACTGGCATCCATGTTTATCTTAGCGCCTCTACAACCATTACAGAATTTATGTTAGAATTTTGAATTAATGTTTTAAAAAGGCACACCTGTTTATACATACAGTGGATGTAACCAAATCCATGCAAGTATAAACTCACTGGTGCAGTACACAAGTGAAGCTATCTGACACGTAAACAGAGGTGCCTAAGCGTAACATAAAAAAATGAAAAACGAACTCCCAAGCTAGCAATTTAAAAAGAAAAGGCATAGAATTATTAAATAATATTCAGGTAAATATATCTTAAATGATTATTATACTCATCAAGTAGCCCCATATTGCCCAAAGGAAAATATATTCACATGCTGTGAATTCTAATTTACTTTGTAAGTTATTTTTTTAAATCAGGTTCTTCATGTTACTTCCAATACAAATGAATCAAAGCACTTCATTCTCTGTGACAGGCTTCTGGCTCATCCAGATGTAAATAAACCTCAGTTCATCCTTGCTCATTACTTAGTACAGCAATCTCACCATTGTCTTTAGCAATGCCACATGTTAAGAGAGAAGGCTGCATTTATAGATCGACCTTCTAGAAACCTTCCAACAATGGTACATTTTTTTTAAAAACATCAGAACTTTTATGTGTGTTTCCATTTCACCTTTATTTCCATGTCCCATTTTCCATATAAATTTCGAGAGAAATATACTCCCTTCAAACAACTACCCCTAATTAATCTCAAGAAACCATAAACTGCTTTCCAAACATAAAAGAGTCCTCCAAATAATCCTTCGAAAAACCTTTCATGCACATATTTCCAATTGAATATACCTCCGTTTGATAGAGAAGAATTGCTTTCAAGGCATCTCGTTTCTAGCATCCTCCAGGAATACTGCTCGAGAAACAGTGGCCAGTAAGGAAAGGAGGAAAAGGAGCAAATGCTCAAGAAACCCGAAAGCGAGGCAAAAATGTACAGGATGCCAGATACCCTCCCCCACCCCTACTCCAGACGAGTACCCACCTAGCATGAAGAAAGAGGTCTTACGGATCTGATCTGCAATCCTACTTGTAGCCCACAATTCCCATCTCCTTAAAAAGGAAATTGACGCTGCCGCCGCTCCCCAGCCTCACAGGCTTCTGCCTAGTGGGCTGAGGTATACTGAGCTCTCAATGCCAGCGCCTGGGCTTAGAGCTTTGTGGCCATGAGACTAGAGCCATCCCAGAATAAGGAACAAATACGCACACCACTTGATTGCGCCCAAACCCATCTCGCTTTGTTGTTCATCATGTAGCTGCGGCTTTATTTGTAAAAGGGGGAAGTGAGGAAGGGAATGGGGGAAATAGGAGGAGGAATCTCCAGGACCTTATCTACAATCTAAATAGTCGTGGTAAGATCTCCGGGAGTGATAAAGGCGATCGGACAGCCCGGTGTCTCCCAATAGCGGCGGTCTAACAATAAAACCTGATAGTGTCCGGGGGAAAACCCCACATCCACGACCAGCGCCACGTTTGGGCTTTGTGCCAATAAGGAGACACTGTAGACTATCGATCAGAATCGTCTATTATCAGAGCGTGCGTCTGGGGTTCCAGCGTGGCCTTTATGAGCGGTGGCGAAGGCGGGACACGCGCCAGGCGCCCAGCGAAGGACGTGGGACAATGGCCCAGCCCGAGGACGCGGGACGCCGCCCGACCAGGGGATGGAAGCTCCAGCAGCGGGTCCGGGAGCCCGGAGGCCAGGAGGGCTGCGCGCTCTGAAGGTGCGCTGCCGCTTTAAAATAAAGGACCACAAAGACTCCACGTTGGGGGAAACGCGCCTGGCTCACGCGACTGGGGACGACTTGGGGAGGGGGTTGAGAAGGGTAGGGGCAAACGAGCCAACGGTGGCTCACGGCTCCCCCTTTCTCCCCCCCGCCCCGCCGCCGCCCGCCGCAAAGGCCCCCCGCCCCCCCCCCCCCAGCGCCGGGCTGCTCGGGCAGACGAATAACAGAGGAAGGCGAGTCACTCACCGTGGTCTTGACCGGCACGTAGAGCACTTGCTTTGCGCCGCCGCCCCCGCGCACCTCGTCCGGCTGGCCCAGCTGGAAACCCTTCGATTTGACCCAGAATTTAAATTTGGCGTTGTCCGTGGAGCTCGACTCGCAGCCGTTGAGGAGCTGGACGATCCGCTCGTATTTTTTACGGGTCACCGTCTTGGTCTTGCCTGAGTCCCCGTAAGTCCTGAGGCACCAGTCCTGGAACTGGCGGTACATGTCGCGCTCACTCTCCATGTTCCCTGCTCCCGGCCGCCGGCCGGATGCTCCCAGCGCACTTCGCACCTGTTCACCCCGGGCTCATGAAAAATGCAGCTCCCGCCACGATGTAGGGACGCGAGGTCCCGGCCGCCGCCAGAGCCTGCCTCTGGTGGGGGGGGCGGGGGAATGGGGAGAGGGAAGGAGGGTCGGTTGGGCACCAGCGATCAATGCCCTGTGCTACCAAGTCTCTGGTTCGTTCGTAATTGCGACGGATGTCTTGGACGCTTTTCTCGTCTTCTTAGTGATGGGTCTCTTTAATACTGTAGGAGTAGGACCATCCTAACAGCATCTGGCCCGGAGAAGCTGGGTTTTGAATAATTAAAATCCCATTCCTTGGTTTATCAAAAACCCACTATTGACTTGGGGTGGTTCCTCGACGCCTCGCCCGGGGTTGTGTCCGGGGCAGGCAGGTGGAGCGCAGCGCCGCCTCCCCGCGCGAGCCCCAGAAGCTTCCCCAGCCTCCGGCCCCACGGTCCAGGAGCGAGGACTGCGCCTCTCTCAAAAGCAGCTGCCCGGCCGAGCGCCTGAGAGCGCGCTCCAGGGTCCTGTTCCGCTTCGGCCTTTCCCTGCGTGGGGCGTTCAGGGACTAGAAAGAGAGAAAGTTCTTACCTGTCATGTTCTTACCTATCAAATCCTGCTACACAGGAAAATTTTTAAGGTATTTTTAAAGCGGCATACAATGGCATTTCTTCAGATGCATTTAGGCTAAATTCCAGTCCCGGAGGTAGGTTCCAGGAGTTAAGTCCCAGAATTAGCAAAGCATTCACGAAGATTTGGCCATAGTTCTATACGATAGACTGTGGTACCCCAAACAGATATCCGTTCCAGGGGGATGTGGGTAAACGAAGGCAGGCCGCTGGCGGCGGGTCTCCCGGATAATGATGGGGTCCCCAGACAGGACACTGGTCTCTGGCGAACTGGGTACAAGGCATAGAAGTAAGTTTATGATACAGATGCTTAAAACCCTTTGCATGAAATTAGAATATGGCGAGGTATCATTTTCCCATTGCTTGGTTACAGTTTGCAGTTCACACGGGAGGTTTCGGATGTCTATTTTCCCCCTGCCACGTCATGGACACCCCCTCCACAGCTCAGAGTAGCCAAATATGAGTTCCTCCGGACGATTTCTCAAGCAAATGAAATCAGCCTTTCCTCCATTCAGGATTTCCATCCGTTTGTTACAGAGCTTGCAATAGGAGAGTTCCCATCCTCCTCGCGCTGCGATTGCGGCCGCTCCTCTTTATTCTACTCTCTGCGGAGGCCCGCGCCCGTCCCGGGAGGCGGCTCTGCCAGCAAGGCGGCCCGACCAGTGCTCAGCGCCGGGTCCGCGTCCTAGCCCACCTTCGCCCCTCGTCGTGGTCTCCAAGACGAAAGCCCCGACTGGGAACGCGCAGTGTTTGTACCCAGTGCGCCGCAGCTGGTCCCGGCACTTGCAAAATGGTCAGTGGCTCCTGCTCGGCCAGGCTTAGTGTGTGCGTGTGTGTGAGCCAGGGAGCGAGGGCGTGCGGTGTGCAGGGGGTGCGCCGTGTGTGAGCGCGTCTCTGGGAAGGTCTCGCGGCGGCTGGAGCCGGGACTGACAGCCCAGGCGGAGCGCGAGCAGCTCCACACACTAAACCTCTCGCCTCTCCCCTCACCCCCACCCCTCCCACTCCCCTCTCCTCCCGCCCCCCCTTCCCCGGCCCCTTCCAAGCTCTCTGATTGGCCAATGGGACAAAAGTTTCTGTGGAGACGGCTGGGCGCTGACGTCACGGACAGAATTGTCCCATTTAGGGATCCCGGGGGCAGTGCGCATGCTGCAGGCTGCAGGTTAGAGGCAGGAGGAGGTAGCAGCGGGCCCGGCGGCAGCCAGGTGGCGGAAAGGAGCACTCAGCATCCAGGTGGGGGGACGACTCCAGCAGGGTTTCCATGGAGATTCCTCTGGGTCTAGCCTAAAAACAGCAGATCAGCTGACACCATTAGCTCAGGACCTAATTACTGCTTATTGGAGCAACAAATGAGGGAGAGGGCCAGCTGCAAAGGAAGAGTTTTTATCCACCCCCCTCCCCATCTCCTCCTCTCTCCCCTCTCTGGGGGGCTCTAGCGTCCCGGGTGAATTCTCATTAACTTGCAAGATTGCTGCAACGACAGCTCCTCCTCTAGAGGCTACCTTGACTGCTTTTATTCTTTTTATTCCCTTCTTTTGTATCAAAAAGAAAATGCTAAAATAAATCAGTTGTCCTGAGTCCTTGAATTATTTTTGCCCAATAAATATTAGACCGGTAGAGCTCAGAGAATCCACCGGCCAACAAAAGTCACAAGTGGATCATATAAGGGAAGGATCACTTTCAGTTTATTGAATTGGGTATTTATCTTTAGGCTTTTCACATTAAAATTTTTTTTCAACATCTTAAATATTTGGAACAAGCAATTGGACAGAACAGTATTTTCCATCACCCTTCTAAATGTGATGTACCTCACAGGAAAAACTCTCTTAAAAGTTTCCCTGGTGATATCAGAGACGGAGGATGATTCCAAGTCAAGAGATCTAGATTTTCTGGTATATTGGTCATAGGTTTCCTAGGAGATTCTGGAAGTATAGCTGGTCACAGGGTGGTCATTCATTCAAGATTAAGCTGGTTCTATAGAGTTCATTTTCTCTTACGATTATAGCTGAATTCGCAATTTTAGAATTCGTTTTGGTAGCTCTTTCATTTGAAAAGTCACCCCACCTCCTCTAAGCCCCATTCAAGTACCTTCAGAACCAGAAAGACTTCCTTTCTTGACTTACTCAAGTTAAAGTAATCTGCCTCTCTAAACTCCTCTGGATAGAGTCTTTCAAACATTTTTTTAACCTTGTCTCATAGTAAGACACATATTTTACTTTGGCATGGAGTGCATACATACATCTGTCCTCCAAAAATTTTATGAAATAAGTATTTTTTATTACATGCAATACACACTATTTGCCATTTTCTCCTATTTATTTATTTTATTTGGTAAAGTATTGTCCTAACTCAATAAATTTATTTTATGATCCAGCAAAGGATGACTGGCAACTATAGTTTGGAAAACATGGTTTTAGATCACAAGAACTGCACTGATCCTCGTACTATATTTATATTTTCATGTAAGTATGTTTCATTATTCAAATAGAATCTTGCTTGGAAGACTCTTGAGAGTTTGCATTTTCTTGTTTTCCAAGTAACTCCAGCACAATGAACAATGCACACAGTAAGTACTTAATAAATATATACTGAGTTAGTTAATTACTAAAAGAAGGAAAAACGAGAAAGGGAAGGAAGGAAGAAGCAGGCAGGCATAATTCTTGGCCATTCCTGTTGCCTTTTGCTGGGTGTTGTTTGGATGAAGTTGGGCCCCACTTAAGGAAATCATAGGGACTGACCACATACACATGTTCATTCTATTTATGATTATACTTGACACGCCAGTGTATGGAAATTAGAACCCTTGAGACATAAAGGATTCACAGAATACAAACAAATATGTCATCAACCCCTAGTCATATTAGCTAGATTTTGTATGTAAGCAAAAAAAACCCTACAAAATTGAAAGAGATCACGTAAGACACCTCTTCTTTTTAGAAGGAAGAGGTAAATTTTAACTATTGAAAGAGTATTCACAATGGACTAAAGGAAAAGAGAGTTCTAGGACTTTGAGAGCCAAGTTTCTGAGAGCCCTGTAGATTCTCTGGTCTCCAGTGTGCTCTGTTCTGTACTTGTACTCATTATTAATTGGCGGGCTGGGTCAACATCTTTTACCACATCTTATCTACATAAAAGCATAAGCACTTGAAATATCTAAAATCTGCTTCAGCAACTCACTCTGGATTCATTTCTCTCCTTTACTTTTAACATCTCTAGAAGTTCTTCCCAGCTCCACCTAGAGGGTCATAGGGAGCCTTTCCTTCAGCTAAATTATTCATTGAACAGGCTGCCTGGAATTTAATTGGCATTTCCCCAAGACACTTTCTTCAGAATTGATTCTCTACAGACCATCTCTCTCCAAAAAAGGGACTCTTCACCCCTGTATCTGAAAGCCAATCACTAAGCCCTGGTCCAGGGTTCTGCATGCCATTTATAGGGAGAGGAAGTCAGAAATTATTATATCAGAATTATAATATATATTAAAATATATATTACATTTTAATGAAGGCTAATCCAAATTTTGAAACACAATCAACATGATTTTATTATGAAAGTAAAATTTCTTCCAACCTCATGGTCAGTTTGCATATGACATTTAAAAAAATCTGGAAAATCTTGCATTTTAATATCCATCACAAATAGTCATGCAACACTACATATTCATCAGTAAAATGTTACAGTGCAAACAACATATAATCCGTAATCATAAAATAAAGATTCAAAGAATAAACAAGCCTTCATTCATCCATCCATATAATTATACTTTCATTCAACAAATATTTACTGAGCACCAATTTCTCTGATAGGCCCTAGAGTTAAAGTAGTCAACAAGACTGATGTATATATATGGCCATCATCTAAATGGAACTTAACTTTTTTAAGGAAAACATAACAAGCAAAGAAATAAATAATAGCCCTTGAGGTAAGTGCCAGGATGGAAAAAAATGGTGCTATAATAGAAAACAGCGGCAGAGTTAGAGGGACTTGGTGACTCAGGGAAGGTATATCTGGGTAGGTAACATTTATCGTGAGACCTGATGGATGCAAAGAAGTCAACCAGTCAAAAAGCCAGGGAGGGGAACTACAGGCACAGCACAAAGGCAAGACCTCTTGGCATGTTTGAGGACTAGAAAGAAGACCAGTGTAACTGGAGCTTATTGAGCTTCAAAGGGAGAGGTAGGCTATGAGGTCTGAGTTGTCTTTTGCTGCCGTATCCTATAGGGCGCTGGTCACCATGATAAGGAATTTGCATTGTATTATTGGTCCAGTGGAAAATCAATCAGGTATTTAAAGCAGGAGAAGTATGTGATATGAGATGCATTTTTAGAAGTTTCACTGGCCACTTTGAAAAGAAAGGATTAGGAGGAGGAAAGCATGGCCAATTAGGAAACTTGCTGTAGTTGTAGTAGTTTAGGTGAAATATTATACTAATGGATTAGAAGGGTAATGGTCGAGGTACAGGGAGAGAAGTGAAGAATTGAAGATATGTTTTAAAGATAGCAGAAGGCTTGCTGATGGATTGCATGTGGCAGGTGAGAGAAGAGATTGAGTCAAGGATGACCAGATGGCTTCTGGCTTTAGTAGTATGGCTAGTGAGGACACTGAGAGAGGGGGGTTTGAGAGAGGAACAGATTGG